CAGACTAAGATATGTGTCAGCAGTAAAATAGGAAAATCAATGACACTTACCTTATAGGATATTGTTAGTTTTCAATAAGCAAACAAAAAAGCACTTAGGACAGCTCCTAGTACATAGCATGATTTCTGGGTTAACTGCAATTGTCATTATCTACAGTCACCATATTCTATTTCATCACTAATTACACCCTGCACAATCAAATAACCCAGGATGATGCTGTGTATTCTCCTCTGTGACTTGTCATATTTGCAAATATCAAGTAATTGCCATGCAGTCTCTTTTAAGCTCTATCTAATGATTGCTAATAATGGTGGCAGAAAGCACACCTAAAAAGGCGTGTCAGCAGCAAGCTTCCAAATCTTCTATTTTCACATCAGTGTCAACATAGTAAGTCTTTTTCATGGGTTTCAAACACCAGGGTGTTCTTCTGGGCATCCAGGAAGGTGTCAAATACTGATTTAGTGACCTCATAAACAGTTTACCCATTCCTCTATCATATGACCCCCATACTTGTCAATATTGCCATAGACTCTATTCAGTTATATAAGAAAGAATGCAGTCAGCTTAATGCAGATAAGCCAGAACTTTGCTGAGGGTTTAAGGCTCTAATTCAAGGCATCTTTATGTGACAAAAAAAATAACAATAGATTTTAACTAGTGAAACTGTTGGCTTATGCTAAGAATGTATATTAATTTATCTTTACAATGTGACCTGTATTTCATTTCATTTCATACTATCTCTTGGTGATACTCATTTAAGATTGCAGATTAACTGTTTTCAATAAATTATTTTTGCATTTTTTCCAAATTAAATCCCCTCCCAGACTGATTTTTATAATTCAATTAAAATAAGCCATCCACTTTCCTTAGCATGATTTGCGTTTTATAAATCCCCTGCCATTTTTCCCATTTTCATTGTTTCAACAGGCCAACTGCTGAAATGAAGCAGAAGATAAAAAGAAAATGTTTTCCCAACTTCCTATATTGCTTTACTAATGTTGCTTCAACAAAGTACCACAAACTGAGTTGCTTAAGCAACACAAACACGTGGTCTGGAAGCTCTGGGGTGGAGCTGGGATGTCGGGGTGTCAGCATATACCCTCATTGCTGACAATGCTTGGTCTTTCTTGGCATACACATCTGTTATTCTGATCTCTATCTTTATTTTCTCATGATGTCTTCTCTGTGTGCATGCTTCTGCGTCAAAATTTTCCCCTTTTGTGAGGCTACCAGACACATTGGATTCAATATGAATCCCCTAATTAATTATATTTGTAGCAAGCCTATATTCAAATAACAGCACTTGTTGAGGTACTTGAAGTTAGACTTTAACATAAGAATATGGCAGTGGGAGACACAATTCAACCTACAGTATTCCTCAAATAAACAGTACTCTTAAGAATATATCAGTTTAAGAAAACCCTTTGGTCTCTATTTCTTACCATACTTAGAATATACCATTTATTTTGGCATCTGAAGTTTCCAGCACCCTGCCTGTCATGTAAATATTTACTACCTGGGAAACTCACTAAAGGATTGATTGAATGACTGACAGACTGAATGAATGAACATATGAAGAAAAAATAAGGAAACTAAGGACATCTGGAAAACTATCATCAGCCACATTATCATTTAATTTGACTTATGACCAGAGAAAGGGAAGGTGGGGTAAACGATGTGTGTGATATGAATCAGTTAATGAAACTCCGAGTTCTTCTGCCTGAAGCCGTAACATTTTAAGAGGGAGAAAACTTCGCCACCAGCTCTCTGATCTGATTTGCGTGTGTTCAAATCTTCAAAGTATTCCTTTTGATTCCTTTAATCAACAGCTATTTTAGAAACCTCTTCATTACTTCTTAATTGTCCAAATTCATTTTCTTCATTTTTCCTTATTAGAGGCAGATTTTTTTCAAATGAGTTAAGTAGATCAGCAATTTTAGAATCATTATTAACTTCAAGCATTTTTTTCTCACTTATTAGCATGTCCCCACTCTCACTAGGACTAAACTCTGTTCTCCATTTTTAAAAGGCCACCTGGTTTATTTTCAAAGTTCTTTTTTCCCCTACATTGTAAAGTCGACTTTACCCTAGACTAGCAAGTCTTTTTTTTTTTTTTTAACAGTAAACTTGGTGATCATTATTACTTTATCATATATTTGGGATGACTGTGCAATGATTTTCTGGTAGGTAGTATGTCAAAATAAGTAAATAATTAAAGTTTTTAGATTTGACACCAGCCCACTCAAATAAATTTATAAACAATTACCACGATACATGAAAAAACCTTATAAATAACTTGCATGAGTATTTTGATCCTAAGTACACTAAAATTAAAAATACATACAATCATTGGTCTCAACAATCCCACTACTGAGAATATACCTCATAGCATTAAAAGTGCTGTATTTTCACACTTGGGAGGCAGAGGCAGGCGGATCTCTGTGAGTTCAAGGCCAGCCTGGTCTACATAGTGAGTTCCAGGACAGCTGGGGCTACAGGAAGACCCTGTCTCAAAAAGACCAAAAAAAAAAAGTATCATATTTTCTCAAGTCTGATTATTATATGAAAAACATGGAAACAAATGTTTATCACCCAATGGTTACTTGAAAACTTGTGGTAGATCTGTATGATGGGCTACCATGCAGTTGATTATATATGACTATAAGTTCAGAGAAAGATATAAAGATACTCAGCAGGTTACTTAATAGAGGGAGAACACTTCAGGTGGAAAGAGGGAAGACAGGAAAGGCATTCCAGACAAAACTGTGAGGAATGTGACTTCGTGTGTGGCAATTTCATGTATGAAAAGAAACAAATACGCATGAGGATGGCAACCATGGTTATTTGAAGGTAGTATTTCTGCAGCATTTTATCATACCATGTTTGCTGGGATTTTATGTAATTAGAACTTTTAAACATTTTTATCATGAGTTATTTACATAATTTTAAATACAACATAAA